ATTGGCAGCCTGCGCCTGGAGCAGCTGTTCAGCAGAACTGCCCAATGCTGCGTTTTTAAGCTTCTGGGCACACGAGACACGTATTGAAGGTCTCGTGAGTCGAGCATCCCCTTCTTCTTTCATTGTGTTGATAATCGCTCCTGTATGCATAAACCATAACACCAGCGGGAAAGACACTGATTCAGTTGATAACCCTTTGTTCTGCCTTCCTTGCTCACTAATTACTAAACGAATGGTTTACAAGTGGCGTCTCACGTGAATACACCATTGAACCTACAAAACTCCCAAAACTTGTTCGAGCTTAAAACACGAGCCATTATCGCCTACTAACTTATGCCGAACGTCGTAAAGTGAAATGACTCGTATAATTTATAATCAGCACAGCGTTTGTGGTTTTATTTTTATGTCCGCAATCACAAAATATATAGGACCCAAATAAATCGCTGCATGGATCCTATAAAATGGTACGCTGGAAGCTAAGTACGATCGCAAAAGGGCCGGGCGTAGCCTAACGCAGATGACACACGCGCCGTTGAGCCATATAACTTTATCACTTGGCGCCAAAATCACTACGTGACAAAACTATATATTGATAACAGAGCTATCTATTTTCATATTATTACTCTAATTGTAACCTAGTTACGACAACGTTTTAACTTAACTTTCATCATTATCTCTTCACTGTCACCCCCGTTTCATGTAACCGATAGCATTGATAAATAGTGCCGTTTGAAATGTCGTTATGTCACTGGATGAGACTGGCTGGTGACTTCATCTATTACGAAGTTTAAATAACAGCGAGCTCTACACTGGTGGTCGCGATTGGTGGTAAGTGGTGCTAGTCATGGAATTGGGTTTTTTCCGTTACAATGATGACGGTAACAATACACGCGCACGAAAAACCGACCTTACTGACCCTTCATAAGTGTTACATTTTGTAGTCAAACGCAGCTAAAATCACAACATAACGTTGCAAACGATTTGTCGAGGCTTCTAATATACCGTTGCCCGAAAATCGTACTTCTCTGACTTCGTGCCAATCGCATGTCCTGTAAAATATTTACGAAACTGAGTATTTAAAAAAATCGATTATCTTTTTGACAGGTACTCTTCTTAGGTATACTTTTCATTAAAAAAACTTGAGTATAATTTTACTTAAAAAAGAAAATGGTTCAGATTATCTCATTATGCGTTTAGATACATAATGACAATTATCATCTCACTCTGAAAATACGACTCGCCGCCGCCACCTCGCGTTTTATCATATAATGTCACTGGATAAAATCGCAGCAAAACATTAGAGAGGCGTCTACCGTAATAATGTATTTCAACACAATAATGTCCTTAGAAGCTTTTTCAGATTCCATCGCTCAAAACTACTTAGACTTAAAGAAAGATCTTTATGAAATTATATAGAAAATACGCTCCTGGAACGAAATTCTTAAAGACTGCAATTCGGCTAAATTAATTAAGACCCAGAGCGTAAATAATAATACACTTATTCAGGCTTTTTTAAAATTCCGTTTTATTAATTACGTAACCAAGGTAAGTAATTTCATTTCGACGAAAGGAACACTTGTCCTTTCAAGGAGTCGCACTTGAATCCCATAAGAGCTGTAACATTCTTTCATACGAGTCTTCTCAGCTTAACTGAATTTGAAATTAAAATGTCATAAAAAGCGTGTACTTCGGAAAGGAAGTCCAAATGACGGCTGAATTCGGAGGACAAGAGGCAGATAAATGCACTTGTTTGATATGGTACTAATCAGATACTCATGATCTTTGACGTCATTCGTTTACGAGATAGCGTCTCACAAACAAGTAATTCCGAAAGAAAACTGCAATTATGGAGCAAATCGAGTTTCGTGTTGTTCTCAAAATCCTCACCAAGCAAGGAGAAGTACGAAAACCAAGGTAGGAGCCGCTTATCGGGGATCTATGCTCAGATAAAACAATTATTTAAAAGTGGCATGATCTTTTGAAGCTACTTCGCGCCCTCTTGGGCCGGCCGGTCAATTGAGGTCATCATATTATGTCTGATATGATGACCTCAATTGACCTCAATTGATCATTGATCAAGTCTAAATTAATATTCGAAGATGTTCTTCTAAAGAGGAACCAGCATTTTGAGGCACCTAATCGCTGGTCCACCCATCTCGCACACTCTGGCCCTATTCTCCAGCAATTGTTATATATAGAAGCATTTGCTCTCTGTATTAACCATTCATTTACACGTGCAGCGATTCGGAGAGCTACGGAAACTGGCTTAGGCTAGCGAGCCAAATAGCATAGCATAGTGTGATCGACATACTGATTTAATCACATACTGATTTAGAGGCTAAGATTAGAATGGTTAGTTAGATGGATAATTGAGGTTATAGTTAGAATAGTTTAGCGACTTCATCGCGTATGCATCGCGTTTGCATCGCGTTTGCATCGCTGCTGAACGTCGCCGTGTGTAATCGCCCTTACATACGATTTGTTCGTCAAAATAGAATAAAGAGACGTATATTTAACATTTGTTGGTATCTAAATCTAATCTAAACTCAAAATATAATAATTATGGGTATGTCAAGATCAATAAAGTTCTTTATGCTGGTAAATGTGCAGACATTTCGATGACCCCACCGAATGAACGTGTATTAACTATACGTGATTCACTATGTATAGAGTCGATTTTTGCCTTCAATGCTTTTTGTTAGGTACAAAGTTATTTTAATATTATAAGCAATCACCAACAGTACAAAATTAACATAGTAAATGTACTATCTCACCAATAACATTCATGTAAAAAAGGGGCTAAATTCAGATAAAAATAAATTCAGAACAACGAACAATTGGCTCAATCAGTTTGGCCGATAATAGAATTTGAATCTAAATGGGTGCCAACGTCAATTAAAGCTCCGTGATATTCATCTACAGAAATATGTAACAATGGTGGCAATTGAAAGCAATAATAGTAAGTAAATATATTACGTCATTCCAATCTAATGGTATGTGATTTATAAAAACATTTCCGAGTACACAACGATATATTTCTTTAAATGCTTATATCGCAGCTTTATAAGAATAGTGGATACGAATTATTAACTCTGTAATTTGCACCCATGGTGTAATAAGGCCACATTCATACTTTTTTATGATACCTAGTGACGAGACGAACAAGTTGTGCGTCTGGTAGAAAGCGACACGCCTGTCCATGACAGTTGCAGTGCCACTTGTAGTGGCACTCCTACTGCACACGTCACTCTAAGTATCAGTTGACAAGTCCCATGTAACTGTAATTTCACCAGCACCCTTACCGTTCAAAACCGGAACGCAGTAATGCTCACATTACTGCTTGGCGACAGAAATAGCTAAGGTGGCAGTACTTCCCTGGACGAACTCTTTCACAAGGCGTTCTACTGCTGCTGATAAATGACAAAATGTTTTTTTTTCAGCAGAGAAGTTTAAAGATTCTACGACTCAACTTTTTATGCTTACATATGAGAGTTCAAAAAATTTACCCATACATAATTTGTGTCATGTAGTTCGTATTATTTTTATGATTTCCATGTGATTAAAGCACCTCTGACGTATTGTTCATCATCACTTGTTGCTTTCTTATACCAAGGGAACGAATGAATACTATTATCATATCATCTCAATTCGAAACAAAATATGGCAAATTTTATTATGAATAAACACGTAAAAATTGCCAATAGCCGTATTGGCATGGATATATCACGAAAAATCGAAATAAGGTAAAGGGACTCCGTTTTGTGGAGAATAGACATGCCTGCATTTTGGTAGCGTTAAAATTTACAAGATTGGAATCACCGCAATCAGAGACCGCCTTAAGTGTCAAATCCAAACGATTACCGTTTCAGAAACTTTAATGGCCATTTCCCATAAGTTTACTTTTTCGTTTAGTCATTAAACGAAAAAATAAACTTATGTTTTGGTTTCAGTTTTAACATGCGGTAGAGTTTTTAATTTAATCTAGTTTCACAATTGACTGTTTTCTAGCCGTTCTTTCACGTATGCTCAATTACCTGACTCCTTGTTAAATTTCAAGTACTCTAATCTAGAGTAAGGATTCACAGAGTCTTTGATGAATCTTAAAAGTAATGATATTCGGACTTCACAATCTCGAGAACTATATGGCCTTCTTTTCAGTATTTGGGATTGTGAACAATGCCTTATTACACAAATAAAATTATAATTTCAAGTTAAAGATAGTTCAAATTATTTGTAATATGTCACACTTTTACTGAGCTGCCCGTTTTTTCTGATCGTTGGCTAATTTGAAGTTCGTTAGTAGTTATTAGTGCGTTTTCAATATCATCTTGCCTATTTACCCTTAACGTCATATAGCGCATTTATTCGATACGAATGTCATCGCGCTCACCCTGCGCGGCCGCCGCGCGGTCGCCAAACAGGGGTTAGCGGCGGCCGCCGCGCAGCGACCGCGCGCGTCTAACTGTCAAGGCAAAATACGCTCTATTTGTATAGCTTTTACGTTTTAATTTAAAAGAGCGTTCCGGACACGCGGTCTAGCCTGGCTAGAATTTGGTCTACGCGGCGGCACGCGCGGCGGCCGCGCGGTAATTTCATTGAGAGGAATTTAAATGTTGTTGCATAATAAATAGGATTCAGATTCGCCATTAATGTACATGAAGGCGTGGTAACTGGGCGATCGCCGCGCGGCAGTCGCGCGATAACTTTCTTCTCGTGTAACTGGGCGCTTACTGTTGTCAATAACATCATAATATTGTGTCATTGGGGCCGTGGTTGATACCTGGTGACCTATAGTACAGGTCCAAACTAGTTTAAGCATCAGTCTTCCTCAATTTAACTGTACGATGGTCCTTAGATTAATTATCGTGTAAAATCTATTGTTAATATGGAAAATAACTATAAATTATGTATTTGTATTTATTTTGTATTTTATTTAAATTAAATATTTATCAGCGCTATTGGTGTATATTCAAAGTACACTCTTCTTCTCAATTTTATAGTGACTAAAAAGACTATGTTCGCCAGTACAGCGCCTCGAGTTGTCTTAATTCACAGAGAGTTTGCTATTGGGACAATTGATTCATTGATAAATCTACCAAAACACCATAAACTGTAAGTGTGACTGTTAGCTTCCGTTGGAATTATTTACGGCAACTGGATTTTTTAACGTGCTATACACTTAAAACTTTGAGAATTATCAAAATTATAGTTTTAGATGCTCATAATTGGTATATGATTGTGTGCTCATTTCACTATTACTCTGGAAATACTGTCTTTTGAAAATGCGACATTATCATAGTATTGACAATGCAAAACCGTACCAAATTTTATATGCCCAAAAGTTTTAAAAGTTTACTCTGACGTTTCTATATTCTTAGTCTTATTTTTATTTACAGAGGTGACGTTACGTTCGGTGATTATAAACAAGATGAAGATGATTGTAAATTGAGCCAAAAGCAAGCAAAAATGGGATTGAAGTGTCCTAGAGCTTATATGATTATGCCAATATCTTTTGTAATTCCTCATCCTGAGTACCGCGCGTTTGTATTTACCTATTTTTTTGCAGCATCTTGATCATTTATGTTTAGTATTTATAACTAATTCCAGGCAAGTCTGTAAATATTCTCCATGAGTTGAGTTTCGAAACGAATCCTATATCCTTGAAAAAAAATCTGTTTCAGAATTCGTGTAAAAGACAGTATAGCTTTAGTTAAATTTATACGTCCCTTAGGATCTGGTAAGTTTTTTCTCATTATTATTAATGTATTGTAATTTCGTAATATAATATTACAGATAACCTTGTCATATTAACCTGATAAGGCAGCCTTGAAAGGTGCTTGAAAACTTTTGTCTTTAATGATACCAAGTGCCGGGACGAACAAGTCGTGCGTCTGGTGGTAAGCGACGTGCCTGTTCATGGGAGTTGCAATGCCAGTCAGAGCTTCAATACGCAAAAATCTGAAGAGCACTGCCACTGCACCCGTGACTCTGAGACGTAAGTTGGCAAGTCCCACGTGCTTGTAATTTCACCAGCACCCTCACCCTTCAAAGCCGGAACACAATATGGCTCACATTGTCGCTAAGCGGCACAAATGGGTAAGGTTTTTGTAATATTCCTTTTTACATATTCACTAATTACTATTATACTTATGATTTCAGATTACATGATGCCATTATGTCTGCCAAATTTGATGGCGCGGAAAACACTGCAAAAAAAAGCAATTTTCATGGTGGATTACGTGTCAAGTATGTTAAATAGTGTAATTTATTACCTACGTATTACTTTAAAGGATATCCTTCCTCTTGTAATTCACAATATTACCTAATCAAACAGATGTACCTGAAGATTTTGGAACGCAATCTATGGCCAAGAGAACATTACAACTATATACTGCATATGAGTGCAGAAAATTTCTCAATGTGGTACTGTATATACTTTATAAATCAGGTTTCAGTTTAAGCAAGGAGTATGCCACTTCATTTATAATTAGTTTCGTTTATAGGTAGACTCGGGAACGACGCACATATTTTGCACTACGGGATGCAGTATGCGAACGGGAACGCCTTTGGTGTTGCATGCCACTAATGGTTTGTTTGAGCTGGTGGGTATCTCGGCCCGCAGTGGATTATGCATCAAAGAATCTCAAAGAATTGCATTCAACGACCCACCTGCTGTATGGATAGACATATTTCCGTACAAATCTTGGATCATCAACGTTATCACTGCACATGTCATGCCTCTCCATTACCCGAACACTTTCCGGCTCACTCAGTATGATGATGGTAAATACATAATTTTTTTAAGATATCAAGTGGCGCGTCGGACAAGTCGTGCATCTGTTGGTAAGCGACACGCCTGTCCAAAGCAGTTACACTGCCGCTCAGAGCTTTATATCACAAATATTTGAAGGGCACTATCTCTGCGCCTGTCACCCAGAGATATACATTCACAAGTCTCACCTCATGTGCCTGTAATTTCACCAGCACCGTTTATCGTTTAAAACTGAAACGCAATAATGCTCACGTTACTGATTGGCGGCAGAAATAAGTAAGGTCGCAGTACTTTCCTTGACGCACTCTTTCGCAAAGAGCAGTAGAGCTCTGTGCGAACTGCTACTAATATTTTGTATCAATCAGCTTCTTACAACAATATCACTGTCACGTGTAATTGACGAAAACTTTAGAAAATACGTTTACACACGTTACAGGCCTCGGATTAACTAGAAGCTCTCTAAGACAAGCTAAAGACGAACGATTTCAATGGCGTGGCAACGTGTTTACTAAAGGAAATTGGTGTTTTGAAGTTGGCGAGAAAGCAAAACAACTAATATTTTTTTACTCTGAGCTATTTAGCTTTCATTCAGATTTAGAAGCCGACATTACCGTAGTATTACAGGTAGGTAGAGCATTTTTAGAGGTATTTATAAGCATAACAATGCTTATACATACCATACCTCTAAAAATGCATGTTGGTCAGTTTTATATTATCACAATTACATATATTCAAGAGAGTTCATGTAATAAGTACATTATAAAGAACAATGTCCAAGTTCCACACAGTCCTGGAACAGGTAAAAAAAGTTGACGTCTATCAATCGCAGGTACAGGGTTTCATTAGTATTTCCATATAAGTTATAAGTTATATGGGATTTATATTTTTTACCATGGAAAGTTAATTTAAGCAACATTTCTTTCTGAGGTTATGTTAATAATTAACATTAATATAAAATATATGTACGCGTGACTTTGTTTTACAAAGTTAAATCATGTTCAAAAGTAGGCACAGTCGAGAACACATCAAAAGTAATGAATCACTGCGATTTAGCATAATTTATCCAAGAAGATACGATTTTCTTTTAAATACTTGATATTAATGATATGCATTGTTTGCATTTTATTTTACGTTCAAAATAAATTACTTAAACAAATTTGTGCCAAACGTAGCACAAATTTGATTTTTCCGTTTAATTGCAAGTCTCGTTTACACTTAACATGATTTCGCCAACGGTGAGACAATTTTATCTAAAGTTTTCTGACAATTATGAAGTTAAGAATCAAATCCAACTTAAGAAATACTAGTCGATGTTACTACTATTGTAACTTTCGTTAATAATTGTCTCAACGTTGCAAAAGCCACGGCAAGTAGACATGGAAATAACGGCTGTTTATTAATTATGAATTTGTTATGCGATTTTTTAATAACAGTTATTGTAAACTGTTATCAGAAAACGTGATATTCCGAAGGTATGTAGTTTTACATACAACATGACAAGAATAACGAATGAACATTGTGTAGTGCTGTCAAATGGTTACACTTCTTACATTTTTCGTAACTAATATGTAGGCAACTTTTGAGGAAATTCGACAATATTTGTTATTGTAAATCCTAAATAGTTTACGAACACACTCAAATCAGACAAAAAAGTAACTCAGAGATGGCGCAAACAAAATTAAATCAATTACTGGTTATAGCTTGATGATTCTTGAGCGTACTTACTTTGTATAATGTACAATTTTGCAGACAAAAATGTAACTTTTCACGCAACGAAATGTAATTTTCGAATCAACACCACGACAACACTGATTTTGTGACCTGTTATTTGTGGTTCAATCGCGGATAATGGCGTTAACGCAATGAAATCAAATCTGCTACTGTTATAAAGCTATTGTTGTTTTTAATTATAACCAATAAACCAAAGCAAGGTGGCTGTTTTCGGCACCAGTTGTATTTAAATTGATTGTTATTAATTAACTGCCTGTTGATATCAAATAATAAGATTGACATTATTTTATTTTGCGGACGCCAGCCCGTTACACCAAGGACCAAGGACCAAGACATTATTTCAATTATATAACGTATTGAAACGTATGAAGGAATGGAAAAAAAATGTTTTTACTCGAATTTACTTTAAAAATTTTATATTATTTTTTGTTTTTGCCTTTTAATTTTATTTTATTTTAATTATTAATACAAAGATCGAACACTCAGAAAAAACACTCAGGAAAAATTCCTTCGATCCGGTCGGATTCGAACCAACGTCTTCTTGCATACTGTGACAGACGCTATACCAAGTAAGCCACGGAACGAACCAACGCACCTTACGAATTTTTCTATGTGCTTGCGTCGTGTCTTTGTACTTGGTCTTTCAACGACTTTTTAGTCGTAGCGCCATCTATGAGAAATCTATGACAGATTTATCACCCAGTTAGTACTATCTTTATTTTGTTTATTTATCAGCTACAGAAGCATTCAAACATAGTTTTACTTTACATAAACAGATTTGTATGAGTGTTGCAACTATTTTAAAATGGATATAAATTTTCAACCAGTCACGACTATAAAATTTGCGAATCTAAATCAGGCATTGTCAATAGCTACTGACCTGTTCAAATTGAAAACTAATTAATAAGGCTTCTATGTATAAAGTTCCATTTTATCACTTACTTAGGTATCAGTGGGAATAGAAGCGACCATCAACTGCGTTCGCCTGACGTTGCCATCGAAAAAGGCCACACCAATAGTCGAGGGCGTTGGAGGTTTTAATATCACCATATTCTTCAGAACCGATTGGACGCCATCAAGCTTCGAGTTTGATTTAACTCTCACGGGTCTACACTCATCCGATCAGGACTACAATAAATGGTATTACCTTAGACCAAAATTTTGGCATTGGCAACAGTAAAAAAATGTAAAAGAATCTTAAATGCGATAATTTAACATAAGCTACTATAAATAAAGAACTTTGACTGGTATATGTTTATTTCTCACTCTTTACCTGTATCCTACTCGTCTCGGTGAAATTATTTTTCATCTTGTAAATATGCCAAGTACACTATACACTTCCGGACACATCATTCGAGCCACCACGCATTTTCAGTATTAAGTGCCCTACGCTTAAACAATGTTTGATTGATCAAAAATTATTATGCAATTTTGAAACTAGTATACTAAACATCTTTTCCATAAAGAATTTTGAGAACTTGTTGAGAATTTGGATTTGCAAAACCGGGGGAAAACTTTTTCTTCGACGATATCACTATTTTTGTATTCCAGCCCTTTATGACTAAAATGCGAGGTGGCTCGAATTATGTGTCCGGGAGTATATAATAATAATAACGCACACTCTCAACATAGTCCCGTACTAGGAAAACCCTGTATCGCGGGCGACATGGACATACACATAGACAACGACAAATTACACCCACAGTCACGAGATAAATAAATGTAGGCCGTACAAATATTTCCTCCCAACCCGGGAATCGAACCTGGGATCTCTGCTTGGCGGTAGTAACCGTTCGACTACGGAGGCAGTTGATTCGATTTCTGAGGGGACGAACAAGTCCCATATGCCTGTTGTTTCAACAGCACCCTTACCCTTCAAAACCGAAACGCAGTAATGCTCACGTTACTGCTTGGTGGCAGAAACAGGTAAGGTGGCAGTACTTCAATGGATGATCTCTTTCACAAGGAGCTCTATTGCTAATAAAAAAGTTGAAAAGGTAAAACAATCGTTGACAATTAAATCACTCAACATTAAAACATATGACTTTATTCCAGTCAAAATATTTTTTTTCATTGCACTAATGTGTTTGATTTGTTAACTATTCTTCAGAGAAAAATGAGTTAGTTCAGCAAGTAAAATATCTAGCTGAGAAGTATGGGCATTTTAACGGAACATTTAGTTTGTTATTCATATAGACTATTATTAAGGGTCCATTACCCTTCACAGCTGTTACTTCAGACGTTGAAATGGCGAAGAGAAATCTCGTTTAGTTCCTTGGATTTACTTGTTTTGTGCATTTTTAAGCATAATTATAAAAAATAAATACAAATAATTTATAACTTACTTCAATGCTATGAAAAAGTAACTACGTAAGTAGCAATAATTTAATGTCGTAAAAACCCCCTTATGATATGTTAATAATTATCACCACAAACTAAAAATGCATACAAAAAATGAAAAAATCAAGGTAGGCATCATCAGTGCTTTATTGACCGTACATTGTGAATAACGCCTATGACACTTTTCTCTGTAAACCCTGTCTGTACAATTTAACAGTCACATCGCATACATTCAATAGTCAATGTCTTAATTTTTCCAAAGGCGGGTTACAACAGAAACTGACAGAAAAGTTTACTCCGATTTACTTCAAAACCGATCAAATAATGGTTACTTGCTACTCTGGTTCAGCGACCCGAAGTGGATCTTGGCTTCCGAGACCAAAGTACACCATTCCTGTCGGTCTTGTGCCAATTCCGATCATTCGGACACATTCAATTCCTTTATGTTTTTGGCGACTTCATCCTTTCAGCCATTTCTTGGACGGCCCACTGGACGACGACCCGTAGGTTGCCCCAAATACGCTCTTTTCACAGCTCGATCCTCTCCCATTCTTCCCATACGTCCTAGCCCTAGATTTTATTTTCCCGATTATGTTTGGCTCAGACACTAGTTCCAA